TGGCCTCTTTGCTAATCTTTTGGAGGTCACTTCATCGTCCTTCTGATTCTTGAAGGAAAAATGTGATTCATCTTTAATTATTCTGCATTTAGCATAGTTTCCCAATGCGTAAGGTTCCTGTGGAGGTCAGGACACGCTGACCCCTGAATAAACATGGAAAAAGGCTATTTCCAAGCACAGAACTTTACACTAACAGTAATTCTGTTTTAGTTATAAACATGATTCCTTTTAGTCAGGGCTGTAGAAGAAAACAGTGAACTTAACCACGCAACTTAAGTACCCTTGTCAGCCCAATTATTCCCTGTCCTGAGTATGTGAGATGCAGATTTTGATGCAGATCAGCCAGCGTGACCAAAGCAAGGATGAAGAGAGTATGTAAGACATGGAGAGCTGAAGTGCTGCTGTTGTCTCTTCTAAACTTTTTTAGATGCTTGTTTAATCATATTTTAAAAAATAATTCAGAACAATTGCTTGGTTGCTAAGTTCCTTTCACTGAAAAGTCAAGAAGGAATGATTATTAGATTAGCTACTCCAAAAAGTGTATGGTTTCAGCTTTGGCACAAGTGATTATTTGTCCTGATAGCAGAGCGGTTGACTTAATTAAAACACTGTCCACATACCTGGCTTGCTCTGATGGAGAATTTTGTTACACGAGACAAGAGAATCCTTGTTCAACGCGCAGGAGAGCATGCTTTAACTCGCTTTCCATTCAGTTTTTCTTTCCTCTGTACTACACATTCATTGTGTATCTCCTTAGGAGGAGAAAAAACCCTCCCACAAACACGGTGCCCTGGTGCATGGTCTGTGCTCCTGAATGATGCTGCTGTTCCCTTCCAGGCCCAGCAGCTGAGTCTGCATCCCCAGAGATTCTCCTTTTTTTTTTTTCCTCTTCTAATTTACATTGAGGGTGGTCTCACCCCATGACTGTACATCCATCACCATCATAGAGGATCCAGTGCTTATTTGTCCAACATGAGTGTGTTACGGTCCAGAATATGCTGTGGACCAGGGTAACTTAACGATGTGTTTTAGCTAAAGATATAAGGTCAAGATTGTATTCTACCTTTCACCTTCCACTGTGTAGAGTGGGAAAAACTTGTGTCAAAATCAAGATGGGAGCCCAGTCTTTGCTTATAAAACACTCCTTACACCTTCAGTGTTTTTATCACAGTGACACTTATTTATAATGCAGTGATGAATTGAACAAAATCACTGCTTTGGCATTTTAGTATCTGGCCTGGGGACGTGGGTTAATTCTTGCACTTCTCAATTTAAGTCAAAGTTCCCATATAACGAGTGTTGGAGACATGCACTCGGGTACCTAAGAGTGTTTTGGCTTTTCAGTTACCATAGAATAAGCTGATAAGAAAAGTTAACAATGCAAATCCTCTGTTTCAGACTGAAAACTCAGAGGATCGGTTGGTTTTCTGACTGGGATCAGAAGCTTTAGATGTTTTCTTCCTAAATATAAACTGAATTCTGCGAGAGACTGGGTGTGCACAAAAGCAATTTAAATGCTTTAGGAAGGTTCAACACTTGGCATGGGGAAGAATTTAAGGAGAGGTACATGCATAGTCTAAAATAATTGCTGGGTGCTTACATTGCAGCAGCCTAGCCTGGCTGTGCCAAATATCTTATCATTGCACGTTCTAAAATGCAAAGGACCTAAATTCAGAAGGAATCAAATAGTCTCATGAACGTGTAGCTGTTTCAAATGTTTAAAGCTGCAAATTACCTTGTTCTAATCGCTGCATTTGCCTTGTAAGCAGCTTCAGAATGTAGAGGAGGAAGAGCAGTGTGCATAAATCTTGTAAATTCATTCTTAGAAGGGAAATACAGCAGCTGTTGAAAGTTGATGTAACAAATGATACAAAAATGGTTCTCTTGGGGTAACTGTGCCACACTTGGATGTTTTTCCGATAATTACAGTTACATGAGTAGTTCCATCAGCTGGAATACCTCTGGTCTTTTTATAAACACCATTGAAATGTTTTAATACTCCTGAAGTAGTTGAGTGGGTTTTCTTCCCTGTTTTAATCTGAAAGAAGGAGAAAAGAATATATTGCCTGAGGTCCAGTAGAGTGTCTGTGCCAAAGACACAATGGGGGTAGAGCCTGCTGTTACAATGGAGTATTATAATATAGTGGAGTATTATATTCTAGTAAGTATAGGGTATAATGCAGTCACTGTTACGGCTCTGAGACCAGCCACTGCTCTTAGAAATTGGAAAAGTGACTGTGCTCGTGAATGTCTGTGTTACTGAATCATAGAGTGGTTGGAGTTGGAAGGGACCTTAAAGATCATCCAGTTCCAACCCCCCTGTTGTGGGTAGAGACATCTCCCACCAGACCAGGTTGCTCCAAGCTCCCTCCAACCTGCCCTTGAACCCCTCCAGGGATGGGGCAGCCACAGCTTCTCTGGGCAACCTGGGCCAGGCTCTCACCACCCTCACAGCAAAGAATTTCTTCCTTATATCTCATCTAAATCTCCTCTCTTTCAATTTAAAACCATTCCCCCTCATCCTGTTGCTCCACTCCCTCAGAAAGAGGGAGTCCTTAGAGATCTCAAAGAGATCTCATCCAAAGATACGTTTAGTTCACCATTACTATGTGGAAATTAAAGAGATTGCATCTTAAAAACAAAGTGTTAAGAGTTCCTTCTAGTCAATAAGGGATTGTGCTCTCCCACTGAGTGGTAAACGGAAACACCATACTAAGCATGTGCTATTTTTAAAAGAAAGTTAAATTTAAAATTTATTTGTGTGGGTCTTAAATTCAGATGGTTATTAGGAGCTTTTCTGCAGGAGAGTTGACTCTGTCTTGACTTTGGGATTTCTTCTGAAAATGCTTTATATGTATATTTACTTTTGAAGGATTGTACGGCGAGACCTCTCGTGCTCTCGCACCGCGTATAGAGCACAGGGATTTTCCCAGAGAAATAAAATGGAAAACTGAGTCTGGGAAAAACGCCACCTTTCTCCAAATTGGGTTTTCATCACTATTACTCATTCTAAACACACGTCAGAGCGAGGAGTCTGTTCCTAGACCCTTATCTCTCTGCTGATGGGCAGCTGGCCAAGGAGCAGCCGAGGAGGACCATATTCAGCTGATGGCTCTTCGGAACAGCGTGGAGCGTAGCTCTTGGTGATGAGGTGCTTTGGGTCTTGTTGTGTGTGCATCTGAAATTGAAGCAGTCATCTCAGGTTGCCCTCTGCCTGAAGAGTCAGCCTGAAATTAATAGCTAACGGAGAAGCGAAGGAAGAGACAAAGTGGAACCAGATGGGCTCCTGAACACAGATACATCATTTCCCTTAACGTGGGCCATGACACTGCTGATTTGTATCAGCTCCGGGGAGTATTAGGGCTGTCTGTTTTTAGAAAAAGTAAAGATTTTCCTAAAAGCTGCTTGCTGCTTGCTTCCCATCCGCTTTTATTTACTCAGTGACTGCAAAATGGTTTTGAGGTTGCTTCTGCCAGGTCTCCAAGTATCAAATAATGGACACCAATGAGATGTATCACGCTTTATGGAAGTACTTACCTGCTCTGCTCTTCAGTTATCGCTCCTTACCACGTTACACTGTGTATTGACCAAAATAAAACCCTCAAACTAATGTTGCAGCTATTTCAGTGCTGTCCAGCAATTTCTTGGTGTTTTCCTCTTCTGTGTGTTATCGGGGTGATCGTGTGGGTTAGGTGTTGCATCTCTATCTGGCCATGTCTTGGTTTGGCTGTTGGCCTTTCTGGGTTTGTTGGTCTTTTGTGGTCATGTTGTTTCATATGTGACTCTGCCTTTGACTTAATATTCTCTGTGTGGTACTGCCTTGTACTTGGGATTAGGAACGTATTTGGTTTAGGCAGTTTGGTCTCTTGTGTCACATCTAGTGCATTAAAAGAGTTTGCACTTATGCTTTTGGGAGCTGTTGCACCCCTAATTTGTTTTCTCTCCTCTAGGCTTCTTTCCTTTGAAATCACACCAACCAGTTCCCTGAATCAACAGCTTGAAGAGAAGAAAGCACATTTCCATATTTTCTTTATTCCTTCCTCCCTCTCCTTTTCATTTCTTAGGAGTTGTGAATTCATCACTTCATGATTAATTTTACCCGGGATTGTCTTTTGTCTTCATGTTCTCAATCAGGTTTTCATCTCCACAACGTTGAAGAGATTCCATGTCGGTTATTTCTTTTCTCTTCTGTATTAGCATGTTGTCACCAATATATTCAAGGATTTAGGAACTATGTCCTGTTGTGTTCCCAACCTTCTGTTGGAATATTGATATTGATCACGGGGCCGTCGTCAGCTCCGGAACAAAAGGCCAAGGGATGGAATTTGCTTGATTTGCTCGTGCTTGCATTCACACTACCTTCAGCTCATCTCTCTGCAGCACATCAAAGCCTCTCTGCCACCTCAAAAGCAGATCTTGAAGTCTTTCCCCACGTGAGGTGTGGGGGGGGACAGCTGGGGCTATGAATCCATTAAAAGCTACCTGTGGAGGAGATGTATTTGATTTTATATGTGCGCGCGCACAGACACACGCGGATTTATATTAGCCAAGGTGGTAATGTTTGGCCAGCTGCCTGGAAACTATTCTAAACTCTACCCAGAGTGGGAGCTTGTGAAAAATACTCTCCAGCGTATGGATGGCATATTCTTTTAGCAGCTCCCTCCTTTCCACTCCATTATAAATATTTACCTTTATTCATCAGTCCTCGACAATCACTTCACTGGCCGTCTTTGGCAAGAAGCTGACGTGGAGACTGTGTATGTTTAAGTGTGCTGGACCACACTAGTGGTTAGGTAATTAAATGTGAAATTATTGGAGGTGGGGGCATAGGATTGTGTTGTAACTTAAGTGCAGCTTGTTGGGGTTTTTTTAAAGGGTTTCTGGCTTTGGGACAGATGTGCGCTATTAATAACAAAATCTGTTCTTTTAACCAGTCTCTTTTAACCTTAACATGTTGTTACCTTCTCTTCCCTCCCTGTTGTTTTCCTCCCAACCATCAGGTCCCAAGCCTCTGTGAAGATCTCCTCTCCTCTGTTGACCAGCCGTTGAAGATTGCGCGAGATAAGGTGGTAGGAAAAGACTATCTATTGTGTGACTACAACAGAGATGGAGACTCATATAGGTGAGTTCGTATCCCAAGCAAGGAATTAACTGGTTTACTTTTGTAAATGAGAGCTTTGTATGAGTACTACTATCCCTTTTCCCTTCTAGTGTTAGCCAAAAAAAGAAATGTAATGATATTAAACTCTCCTCAGCAATTATCCAAAGCAAGGAATTAACTGGTTTACTTCGTAAATGAGAGCTTTGTATGAGTACTGCTATCCCTTCTCCCTTCTAGTGTTAGTCAAAAAAATAAATGTAATGATATTAAACTCTCCTCAGCAATGAGTCTGGGGCTATTTAAAATCCTCGTGTCTTGAGTAAATGACTGTGGAAGTTGTTCTTGGTGTTTCCCTTATGCAAAAGAGCATAAACATCTCCAGAGCCCTATAGAGCACTTCAGTTTGGGATAACATGGTCGTATGGTTGTTAATCTGATGACCTTTGCAAGGCAGGTCCCCACTGCCTGTCTCTGGAACAAGACGTGTTTTATCCCAGAAACCACTGTGTTTCTGCACGTTTTCTTTGCTGTGATTTGCAGTCGTTCAGTGAAGCCTAAATGTGATGTTTTTACCTTGTTAAAGGGGTGACTAACACATTTCTCTCAGGCTTTCTGTAGTATACTCCTACCTTAGAGAATTAAAAGCAGTCGGGTCTCTAAAAGAAACAACTGTGATGGAGTGAAATTAAACCGTCTGTTTTTACAAGGTTGTAAAATCTTTGGGATGGATAACAACAGAAAAGAGATGATGGAAGGAGTTGGTTTAAACAAAATCATCTTCTTGTACAAAGAGGGTGGACTTGGCCAGCTGGGAAAGGCTCTTCCACTCGTGTTTTGCGAGGGATCGAGTCTGACTTTGGACGTGCAATGTCATTAGTTCCCTATCAAAATCTTGGCCCAAGTTTTTAGCAAAGAAAAGGACTCCCTCTCTACCAAAATAGCTAATTTATTCTGAGGACTGTAGACAAAACCAATGAAAATATTTGAACAATGTAAGCTGTGTGTAATTATAATATTATGAATTTTGAAGTAGAAGGGGCTGTAATACTGCAATGGTACAATGGGTTTTTGGTATTTTGGCTGCCAATTTGGACGCTCTCTCTCTTTTAATGTTTTTATTCTATACCTTGCCATTAGGATGATTACCATTGAGTGACTCTAATTGCTTAACTATTTGTTGAACCATTTTTTTTCCCCCTTTTTTGCATTGCCTGACTTTTCTTAACGGCTGCGGTGACGGTGGCATAGTTCCAAATATTTAATTAAGAATCACAAAGCTTATAGGCCAGAAAGCTCTGTGAATATTGCATCACCTGGCTTTTATCCTTCTCCTTTAACGAAGGGTGCCAGGCTGAGAAGTAATGACCACCGTTCATCTTCTGTCCTGACTTAACAGCTTCTTCTGGTTATGATTATAAGGGTGACATCTCTGGCTCCCCTTGCAGCTTCGGTGTAACAGCTTGCATTTTTAATGCTAACAATTGGAGCTGATCTTACAGTAAGAATTGAGCTTTGCTTTGGGCAGATTTGCAGTAGTGGTTTACATTAATCTGGCCAGAATGCTTCAAGAATTCTATTTCCAAGTGGAATTCCAGAAAATATTTTAACAATATTTGTATTTCTTTGGCTTAGGCCATCATTGCAGAAGAAGGTGAGCTTATAAAGGGTTCTCATTGGTTTCAGTTGCTTTGAGTTGCAGAAAAGGTACTTATCTAAGCTGAAAGCACCTCCGTCTGTAGATGATTTACAGAGAGAACATGCTGAGATTCATTTTGTCCTAGAGATAAGTGGAGGAGACTGATAGTGGATGCAAAGTTGGACACTGGATTGTGCTGAGAAAAAATCTTAATGAGTTTTTTAGAATATAACCTGGTGCGGTGGTTCAAGAAGTAAGAAAGTCTCTAAGGTGAAGTGTTCACTCACGTTCTTCAGGGTACCAATCTAACATTAAAAGTGTGTTTGAACTTCTACAAAAGAGTCTGGTGCCTTTTAAAAGCATTTGTGCTTGTATGTCAGAGTTGGTCAGATCTTTGCTAGCAGCTCCATGCATTTAATTGGTTCTATATTAGTAGCTAGAATAAAGTTTTATAGCTTCTGCCCTCCAGAAGATGTACTCACGCAGCTGCATGCTCTTGGGAAGATGCAAGAGGAGGGATTAGACCCCGTGTTTCTTGTGGGTCTCTCAAAAGATGGTTTCTCACTGAAGCTGTGATGTGTTTCTTGCAGTCCCCTGGCAAGCTATTCAGGCTGTTGACATGAGCATCTATCACCAGAGGCACAGGAAACTTGAAAAGGCACTTGTTAAACAATATTGTGACATGCTGCAATAACTAATAACACTTGCCCCCCTCCCTCACCCCGCCTCTCCGTGTTTAATTAGTGCATATGGCAGCCCTTTCTAAAACTAACCTTAAGGTTAGTTTCATGCTCAGCTCTGAAATTTGCTCAATCTCTTTCTTTCTGAGAAGATACTTAAATAGTTGCAAGGAAGCAGGAGGAATTACGTTTTTTAAATCACTTTGAAATTTTCAGGACTTATTAAGTAATGGGCTTTCAGGGACGCTATTTCATTTGTTCATCTAGAATAGACATCATGTATTAATTGCTGCCATTAAAGAATGCTGTTCTTGAAGGCTTTTGATTCCAGCGTTCTGGATTGAAGTGATCCTTCCTTCTGGAACTGATTGGTCTCAGCTCTGTTTCGTGAAGCAAATTCTTTCCTTCAGCACAAAAAGCAAAAGCCTTTGAAAACCAAGCAAGGGGAACATGTGCATGTGTTAATCCCATTCTGTGCCTGTGTTCAGACACTGTTATTCATACCTCATAAAATCTGAAGTTGTTACTGGGAAGTGGCTCTTACGCTAATTTAATCAATTAGCCCAAAATCTAGGAGGAGTTTACCGTGCTTTTAAAAGCTTTTGATATTTCCACAAAGAGTTTTCACAACCACAAGCTCGATTAGAAGCCCCAAGAAATACTGTTCCCTGTCTGCAACGTGCTACGTCCCCACTTACTGCACATTTCAAACTAAACACCAATTTTCTTCTTATTGGGGAGGTTGCTAATTGCATTTCTTTTAATACTAATCCAAGGATTTCAAAGCATTCTGCAGGCAACTGAGCCTCTTGCTACTTTGGCAGGAAAGGCTGAGCTGGGTAGTCAGACTTTCTCACCGAGAATCGAGTTTTATAAGGGGTTTTTTTTTGAGTGGTTTTACAATTTGACTGGGAATTAGCTTTGAAACAAAGCTGCTGCGGGGTGTTTGGCCTTTGGGGTGATAACTCCACCACTTTCATGGGGGAATTAATATCCTAATGCTTAGCCCATCACAGTTTAATCCTTCCTCCTATTTAGACAGACTTGATTTTCTCCACATCAAACATGGATCAGACCAGGAGGTAGTCTTGGAGTCTCTTGGATCTTCATAAATAAGATAATTTTCATTTTTTGTCATATTATCCTACTGCTGGTTGTGGGAGCAACGTTTCTCACATGTAGTCTTGCAGGCACTTCTGCGAGTGCTCCTTAATAACAAAGGTTTGTGGGGGATGTCAAACAGCCATGGAATCCACATTGTGAAGGCAGAGCTTTTATTAATTTATTATTTTTTTAAATATATATATATAAGACTTCAAGGTCCCTGACTTTGTCCATACATTTCCACTCTAAGTATGTTTGATCACTCTATTAAATGGAATCCTTATGGGGAATTTGGTGCCAACAGCACTGAAACCTGTTAGCTGAAACAAAAACCATTCTCTTTTAGGGAAATTAGAGGTCTGACTTTTGAAATTTAAGTGCTTGTCCGTCTGTCTTGCTTCAAATAACCTCCGTTTAAGTTTTTAAATGTGTTGTGAGTACTCCTCCACAAAAAGGAAAAAAAATAGGGGGTTGTGTTATGGGATTGGGGGTGGGCTTTTTTTTAGGTGAAGTTGCTGCTGGCTCCAACTGTAATGAGTTGAAAATACCACAATCTGCTGGAAGGCTCTGGGTTACTAGACTGCCCTTAAATCCGTCCCTGCAGCCTGCAAAAGACATCTAATAATTATAATTAAAGTGTCTTGACTGTGGCTTCTTTAGGGGTTCTCTGCTCACCGATTTCCTCGTATGTGATGGAGAAGCAGAGAGTTCCGGATGTACAGAAAGCAGTAGAATTTTTGGGAAATCTGCCTTTTAAAATTTAGGAGAGAAAGGTAAGGTAAGAGTGTGCTGATGGTGGCTCTGCATCGCCTGGCACACGAGCCCTGGCTTTGCTTTTGCCTCTGCATTGCCTGGCACACGAGCCCTGGCTTTGCTTTTGCAGACTGGCTGATGGCAAAGGCAGTGCTCCATCAGCCTCTGCTTCTCCCATCTCCTTTGGGTTTGTGTCCCCTGCCCCATGGGTGCAGGTTTGTCATTTGGGAACCCCACAGATCACCCCGCTGGTGATTTTTGTGCAAATCTCTTCCAGATTGCAGAGAGTTGTTAGGCAAAGGAGCGCTGCCGCCGCTGTCTGCTTTTCTCCAAAGGAACAGAGTTTTAAGCAACTGTTTTAAAATGAAAACCACCACCTGAAAAACGCTGCTCCGGCTGGAGGTGACATAATGATTTAGCTTTTCCTGGTGTCTCACCTTTGGAGGCAGATGTGGTGGGGAGGAGCCAAGTGTGGTGAAACGCTTTGCCAGAGCGAAGCCGGAGCCTGTTCTTTGTGCTTTGCATTAAACACATGTCAAACCGAGCTGCCTTTCTGAGAAATGAATAACAAATGGCTACTGAGGAGAAAGCCCTTTGCGTATGGACTGCATTAGGAGCTGGTGTTTGTAGGCTGGAGTATGTTGAAAAGTGAGGAGGTAAAGGGGAGAGGTAGCGCTCTTTAAACCAGCAGTGATATATGTAGCTCCGTTATTCGCGGGGGAAATGAAAAGGAGAATGCAGGTTTACAGAAAGGGTATTATAAAAGTCTCAAGCAGATGGGCAAAGGGTTCCATTAATCTTTTAATACCAAATCTCTTCCACACCTGCGGAAATCACAGCAAAACCTGTAGCTTTACAAACCCCGTTAAACCCTTCGAACTGTTCAAATGGTTTCCTAATGTTATGCTAAAAGTAGGGTTTGTTTCAGAGCAAAATAGTGGAGGAGAATTTGGACTTCAATTGTAGACTGCGGTGTTTGGCTCAAATGCTGTCAGATCCCAAATAAAATGATATAATCTATTTGCATGAAAATAATTTTAAATAGCTGATGTGCAGCAGCTGAGGCCTCACTTTTGAATATTTAAAAAGGAAGAGATTCAAACCCAAGCTGATTGTAGCAGAAACCTGAAGATGGGGAGCATTCCCCAGCTGCACTGTAAACTTTGAGGAGTCAGTGTCCCTTTTTTGTCAGTCTTTGAAACGGCTGTTGAGGGTGAAATTCTTACAGATGGACAGGTTTGGGGAACTTTGGGGTTTTTTTGGACGTTTGGATCAGGTCAGACCCACCGATTTCAACCCTTTCAGAGTTTGTCTGGGTGTTCTGACTGTCTCTTTTTCTTCTCTCTCTGGCAGATCACCATGGAGTAACAAATACGATCCTCCCCTGGAAGACGGTGCCATGCCATCTGCTCGCCTGCGCAAGCTGGAGGTGGAAGCCAACAATGCCTTTGACCAGTACAGAGACTTGTATGTCAGTTCTACCCTCCAGAGCCTCCCGCTTCCCTTCTTTCCTTCGGCAGGGCACGCGGTACACGCAATCAGGCTAAAATGCGGTCCCTGCGGGTGGCATCCCAGTGTATAGCAGAGGAAGAAGGGTAGGCAGCCCCTGAGCCGCTGCTGGGAAGCGTGTCCGCTGTGATTTCACGACACGAAAACATGATCAAATTTGTCAGCTGATGCTAAAAGGCAGATGCTGAGGTGTTTTCCCGCCTCCTTCCCCCCCCTTTAACAGATTAATGGCTTCTCTGTCCCCAAGTGACCTGTGTTCTCTTTGATCTCGACTAAGTTCAGTCTTAAACCATCTGCTTTTTCCATTCCCTTAAGACTGTGCTCTCTCAAAATGTCTATATATATAGCAGCAACTTTCACACCTTCCAGTAGAACGACAGGCACCAGTATACCAAAGGGTATGGGCAGCAAATGTATGGGCATTAACCCACGTGTGCTCCAAGGGCCCTTCTCTGCTCCCTCTTTTAGGCTCTGTCTTGTTAAAGAGGTGTAAAGCAAAGGAATTAGTAGTGTGTGTAAGATAAATATACATTCCACAGTGTCTTTTTTAAAGCAGCGATAAGAAACTGTCTGGGTGACTTGTCAGTTGAATTTTTCTAAAAGGTGGAACTGCCCCGGTCTTGTGTTGAGTTTCACATCGAAGATCTTGAGATGGGATCAGGTTTAGCTGTCGTCTTTACAGATTTCCTTCCCTTAAGCAGCGGTGGGATGGAAACAGTAATGCTAAAACTGAAAGTGAGAGTGTGTTGCAAAGCAAAATGAACTCACTGCTTTATCCAGTAATGGGATGTCTTGCTTATTGGAGATGCCTAATGACCATGAAAAAGGTGAACAAACCTCATTACTGCTTCATGTTGCCCCAAAATGGCAACCCTTAGTTGTGGTTCATCATGTGTCGTTGTACTACTGCATAAAAAAGTACTTTTCTTGCTAGATTTTCTGCTCGTTTTAAGATGTGGCTTGATGTAAGTGTAGCCTGTCCACACTTTTTATAGAATCAGAGAATGGTTAGAGTTGGAAGGGACCTTAAAGCCCTTCCAGTGCCTCCCCCTGCCCTGGGCAGGGACACCTCCCACCACACCAGGTTGCTCCAAGCCCCCTCCAACCTGCCCTTGAACCCCTCCAGGGATGGGGCAGCCACAGCTTCTCTGGGCAACCTGGGCCAGGCTCTCACCACCCTCACACCAAACAAGTTCTGCCTGAGATCTCATCCAAATCTCCCCTTTTTCAGTGTCAAACCCGTTCCCCCTTGTCCTATCGCTACGGTCCCTCATCAAGAGTCCCTCCCCATCTCTCCTGTAGGCCCCCTTGTTACAGGTATCAAATTTTTACTTATTTTCATGCATTATTTTCATAGTTACCCAACTTCTCTTCTACGGAACAGTTGTTACTGGTATCTGAACCTACTGGAAGAAAAGAATTCTGCACATGCAGCAAAGAGAGCTTTGCAGTGACTCCCCAGGTGCAGAACAGACCAGGACCAATAGGGTTTTTTTACACACTAGGATGAAAACGAGTAGTTTTATGGAACCAAGGTTGTCTTTTTAAATCCCTCTCTGATCAGAGGACCGTGAAGTCCCAGCCGGATACAATAACTCCTTTAAAATGGTTTTCTTTGCCGGAAGGAAAGCGCGGTGCAGGTTACTCTCAGACTTCGGTGAATCTGTTGAACCCCTTTCAACGTGTGGTAAAACAGGAGTCTTAAGATATTGTAGGGAAGTAAAAAGCAAGGTTGTATCGTATTTTGTCTTTTAGTTTGTTCAAGTTTTACAGGTGATACGTTGTTAGAGGGGACGTGGAACAGAGAAGCGCCGCTGTCAGCACAGAGTGCCTGGATGCGTGTTCTCATCTCAAAAATGTGTCAGGAAAAGAGGAGAAGGGTGGCTTATGTTTTGCTGAGTGGCATAAAAAAATGTGGCATTTTTGGAAAGAACTTGCAAAGTTAGGGAAACTTAACCTGACCATTTCAAGGGTTCCTTATGCTTGAAACTGGAAATTACCTACAACAGAGGCTTGGATAGAAAAGTGCTTTTGTGCCAGTTGTTGGACTCTGCAGTTTCCTTAATAAGACAATTGGATTTTGGGTTTTGACGGCAGAAACTTAATTTTTACTTGGAAATTGGGGCAGGGAAATGAGGTGGGGTAACAAGTGCCAGTTTTTCTCGCTGCTCTTTACTGGTCTTGCCAATATATCAGATTGGGAAGGGCTGTAACAGCTGCCAGAGCCATGTGGGAGTCTGGAGTGTGGGGAAGGTTGCAGTGGGAAGAGGGTGGCAGTTGCAGTGATGTAGTTCCCAGGATCTGCTAGAGCTGGAAATTGATCCTGCATACCCACTGGAAAGCCAGGAGTGGGTCTGAGCCCTGCCATAGCCATTAAAAGTGTCCCTGGCCATCTGGTTTGGCAGCTCCCAGTGCTGGGAACGGAGCACATGAGGCATCAGGTCCAGGGCAAGGTTATCAATGTCCTTTCAAATTCCAGAACCAGTGACAACAGAGGTTTTCCAGCATCGTGAAATATTTCAGGCTCATTTGAAAGCATAGATGTATTAATAAAAAAATAAATAAGTAGCGTGCTGGCAGCCTTCAGTACTGGACCTTTTGTGGAAATAATGGTTTCTGTTCTATAGGAAGATTTAAAATGGGTCCACCTTCCAGTAATGGTGTTCATTCTGTTGGCAGAGCACAAAAGGGGTTTCCTGAGTTGACCTGCAGAGATTTCCACTGTCTCTGGTCACTCTGATGGGGTTGTCTGTCCAAACAGACTGGTTGTAGGTGACGCCAAGCTAATCAGTACTTCACATTACAAACTTTTTCCTAAAAAACATGAGTTTAAGTGCAGTTGCACTGTTAGACCTTTGGCTTGCCTCAGACCTGCTGGAGAGCAGCCCTGAGGAAAAAGACCTGGGAGTCCTGGTGGCCAACAGGATGCCCATGAGCCAGCAATGGGCACTGGTGGCCAAGAAGGCCAATGGCATCCTGGGGGGCATGAGGAAGAGTGTGAGCAGCAGGTGGAGGGAGGTCATCCTGCCCCTCTGCTCTGCCCTGGGGAGGCCCCATCTGGAGCACTGGGACCAGTTCTGGGCTGCCCAGTTCCAGAAGGACAGGGAACTGCTGGAGAGGGTCCAGCAGAGGCTACAGAGATGCTGAGGGGCCTGGAGCATCTCTGTGCTGAGGAAAGGCTGAGGGACTTGGGTCTGTTCAGTCTGGAGAAGAGAAGGCTGAGGGGGGATCTGATCAACGCCTCTAAATCCTTCCAGGGTGGGTGGCAGGAGGATGGGGCCAGGCTTTTTCCAGTGGTGCCCAGGGACAGGACAAGAGGGAACGGGCACAAACTTGAACATGGGAAGTTCCACCTAAACATGAGGAGGACGTTATTTGGTGTGAGGGTGGCAGAGCCCTGGCAGAGTCTGCCCAGAGAGGTGGTGGAGTCTCCTTCTCTGGAGATATTCCAAACCCACCTGGACATGTTTTCTTCGAAGCAGTTTGTGGTTTGTTGCTGGCATTGCTGGGCTAAACTGCTTGATCCTGTGCTTATGGTCATCTAACCAGTATGAACTGTCTGTCCCAGAACGATGTTGGGCTTCTTAATACCTTGTAAGCACTTATTTCTGAGATGTTGCTCTGTGTGGTGCTTGCTTTACTCCCCAGCTTTAAAATACATCTTATACTGGTTCATAAAATTATCTGGGTTGGAAGGGACCTTTGAGATCATCCAGTCCAACCATCAACCTAACTCATAAAAACCATCACTAAACCATGTCTCTAAGCACCATGTCAACCCAGTTTTTAAATCCCTCCAGGGATGGTGCCTCAACCCCTTCCCTGGGCAGCCCATTCCAAGGCTTAAGAACCCTTTCCGTGGAAACATTTTTCCCAATATCCAATCTGAACCTCCCCTGGTGCAACTTGAGGCCATTTCCTCTTGTCCTTGCCTCTGGGTTGTTCACATGAGGAATGGAAGAGGAAGATCCTTCCTTTCTATAGAAAAATCAGTACTTGTGAGACTCTTTGCTGTTCCCACTCTGCTCTCAGCACGCTCTGAGCAGCCTCTGGATTCTCTCCTTTCACCTTTACTCACAGTAAGTGATAATAATCTCACCGAGTTCACCTCGGGCGTCTCCCAAGATTGCAGATAGTTTCAGTTTTTCCTCCTGTCAGTCCCATTTGGCCCACATACCCTTCCTTTGCAGATTTCTGTTCTAATCAGGTGTGGTAAGTATCCACCTACGGTTAGTGACTCATCGGCATGTATTTGCCATTTCCCAAGGGGCTGGCACCTGCCAGCGTGGGTGTTTGGAGGGAAACAGCCTGTTAGGGGGTTGTTAACAATTTATGTGAAATAATCTATTCAGATTCGCTCGCTGGCGACGCCTTTTAAACTTGAGTTTTGGCCCTGAAAGCTTTTTGGCCAGCACATTTGGTGACTGCAGTGTGAAAATAAGTTTAGGGAAGCCTTGTAGTGTCGCATGGGGTCATTTCAAAGTGTGAAATCTTGAGAAAAACAATTTTGCTGAATCTTCAGTGCTGAGTTGTTCCCTCTGAGTGTCTGTTTTAATGCAAACCACCTTTATGTATCTCTAGGGCTGCACCCCTTTTATTTCTGGAGGCACACTCAGAGAATCATAGAATGGTTAGAGTTGAAAAGGACCTTAAAGATCATCAGGTTCCAACCCCCTGCCCTGGGCAGGGACACCTCCCACCAGACCAGGTCCCTCCAAGCCCCCTCCAACCTGCCCTTGAACCCCTCCAGGGATGGGGCAGCCACAGCTTCTCTGGCCAACCTGGGCCAGGCTCTCACCACCCTCACACCAAAGAAGTTCTGCCTGAGATCTCATCCAAATCTCCCCTCTTTCAGTGTCAAACCTGTTCCCCCTCCTCCTATGGCTCCCCTCCCTGATCCAGAGTCCCTCCCCAGCTTTCCTGAAGCCCCTTGAGGAACTGGAATGGGCTTGAAGGTC